TATTATATATACTAATAGAGATAATTTGTTTCTTCAATGGAAAATCTGTTGAAATAATTGAAACGTAGTACGTAATATTAGAAGATATATTATTTTTTGTCATTTAAAAGGAAACAAATCTCAAAAAAAGGAAAAAAAATTTAAATTGGTCCAAGATAATTAATTAGTATTTGATTTAAAATTAAAATTTCATTTGTATTTACAGTTATTTACAATGATACGTGTCTAGAGAAAAAAATATACTTAGTGTTTCGAATTCTTGATTCTCTGTTTTTTCAAATAAAATAACTCTCGGCCAAAAATCCTCTGTTCTTCTCATAAGAACCCTATACTGAACTAGCAACCAATTTCATTCAGAGGTAAGTTTGAATACTGCTTCATAATTTATTTGAAGTTGAGTTGTTTTTGTTTCACTTTTTGGATTCAGTTTTTACGCTGCGGAGTCGGAATTTGAACTTTATGTGTTCTGAATAGGGTTAGTAACTAAATTTTGTACATGTTTGTCAATACATGGCTATGGCCTATGTGTTTTTGATATTTTTATGGATGAAGTACTTCAACTATTTGTTTGTGTAACCAGTTAAACAGTTTTTGGTGTTTCAGATTCACTTTTGACACTTGGTTAGGTTGATTTCATGTGGTTCTGATGGAATTTTTTTGAACATGTTTTGGTGGGAACAAGTGATGTTTTTGAATTAGTATGGTTTGTTTCCTTTTGTTTTGTTAAAGAAAAATAGCCAACAAGTGCTACATGTGATCGGTAGTGTTTTCTTAAGGGATAACTAATCCGGGATTAATTTGAGGTTGAATTTATCCCCATGTTTGGCTGGGATACGATCGTGGAATAATTTTATTTTTATCGGATGATAACTAATATCGGGATAACTTGTTCCCCAACCAAATGAGAGTCCTAAGATAACTATTTGCGAGGCTACCATTCTTTGTCTTAACTAGATTTATCATTTCTACCTAGAAAATGCAATCTGAGTGAATCCATAAATAGATATATGCCACTATTTGCAATGAGCACACGGTATTCTTTAGCAAAACGTGAAAGAATAGTTTTGCAATGTTCTCATGTTCAGTTGTTCACTACTCATTTTGTTTCGTGTTTTCTCAACCTTAGTACAGCCAATCCTTTATGAATGTGAATTCGTCCTGTGCAACTAGAAAACTAGTAAGTACTAGCAATTCTTTAGCATTTTGCTCTTTCTTTCCATTGAGAGAAAGGGAACTTAGAAATCTTGGAAAATGGGCATACTTCTGTAGAGTATTGAGGAGATATGTCGATAAGAAACTGGTAACTGAATAATATGCAAGTTTAACGGAACTTATCTTGAGTGAAATGGATTTTATGTTTCACTATTACCATATCTTGGTGTTCAGGCTTAATGTGTCGTCAAGTGAAGTGAACAATTGCATGAATGAACTACCACTGCACAAACTGACACCTCTTATTCCTTTCCTGTGTTGTTTCTTTTGCATGATTCCCCAACTACTTGTGCCACTCTGTTTGTGATTTCTATGTTAAGTCTATCTCACCTCGAGTTGAGACTAGGTTGAAATAATAATTCATAAAGTACGAGATTCCTACACAAAAAGTTTCACATAAATGACTTTATACTTTGAACATCTTTTACATTGATTATGTGTTTGTACTAGTGATGTATTACCTCAATTTTACTTATGTGTAGCGTTTATAAGATGGCTGATGGAGAAGATATTCAACCACTTGTAGTTGACAATGGAACTGGAATGGTCAAGGTTGGTTAGCAAAAACTGCTTGCGATTCTTATTACTCTCTTGCTATGTGACTTTACTGATGTACAACAACTATGTTATTTGTTTCTTTAGGCTGGTTTTGCTGGGGATGATGCTCCAAGAGCTGTTTTTCCAAGTATAGTTGGTCGTCCTCGTTACACAGGTGTCATGGTTGGAATGGGACAAAAAGATGCCTATGTTGGTGATGAAGCTCAGTCCAAAAGAGGTATTTTGACTCTAAAGTATCCAATTCGACATGGTATAGTAGACAACTGGGATGATATGGAGAAAATCTGGCATCACACTTTTTACAATGAGCTCCGAGTTGCTCCAGAGGAGCATTCCATTCTTTTGACTGAGGCACCACTTAACCCTAAGGCAAACCGAGAGAAAATGACTCAAATCATGTTTGAGACTTTCAATGTGCCAGCCATGTATATTGCAATCCAGGCTGTTCTATCTCTTTATGCTAGTGGTCGTACAACTGGTAAGCAGCACGTATTGATTAGGAACGCATACTAGTTCTTCTTGACTTTCTGTTGCTAATTTGTTTGCTGTTTTCCAACAAGGTATTGTGCTCGATTCTGGTGATGGTGTGAGCCACACTGTCCCTATCTATGAGGGATATGCACTTCCCCATGCTATCTTGCGGTTAGATCTTGCTGGTCGTGACCTTACAGATTATCTCATGATGATTCTCACAGAGAGAGGTTATTCATTCACCACTGCTGCTGAACGGGAGATTGTTCGTGATGTGAAGGAGAAGCTTGCGTATGTCGCACTGGATTATGAACAGGAGCTCGAGACTACAAAGAACGGTAAGGATGTTGAGAAGAGTTACGAACTTCCAGATGGGCAAATAGTCACTATTGGCGCTGAGAGGTTCCGTTGCCCTGAAGTCCTATTCCAGCCATCATTGATTGGAATGGAAGCAGCCGGAATTCATGAAACAACATATAGCTCAATCATGAAGTGTGATGTGGATATTAGGAGAGATTTATATGGAAACGTTGTGCTTAGTGGAGGCTCAACTATGTTCCCTGGTATAACGGATCGTATGAGCAAGGAAATCACTGCTCTTGCTCCAAGCAGCATGAAGATCAAGGTCGTTGCACCACCTGAACGGAAGTACAGCGTCTGGATTGGAGGATCAATTCTAGCTTCCCTCAGTACTTTCCAACAAGTTAGTCTCATTTTCCCTCTCTTTGTTGTTGTCATCGATCAATCAACCTATCATCTACGTCTCAATCTCGAATAATTTGTTCTCTTCTATATATTTGCTAACGTACTTGCTTTGCAGATGTGGATAACGAAGGCCGAGTTTGATGAATCTGGTCCAGCAATTGTCCATAGGAAGTGCTTCTAAGAGTGGTTTTGTTAACTTTAGTTTATTTCCTATCAAATGAATTCTATATGTCAAGAGTTCTTGCGTTTTGTGTAATTTGAATTTGTTTGGTAACACTTTATGTTATTGAATTTGCAAGCCTAGATTCTTGTTTATGTCTTTCTACTGTGAATTTAACCTCAAACCAAACTGTATTTTATAATAATTAATGAATCACAATATAACAGTCTCTTTGTTAGAGAGCGTTTTACCCCCAATTTAGGATTTTCCGATGTGAATCTGGTATTAGTCGAGCTCTAATGTGAGTACCGGACATCCAAAAAAAGAGATAAATTATATAGGCTAAAGTTATTTTTTGTTTCCTTTTTGACAAGAAAAAGTGATTGTTGATTTGGGACCCCTTAAAAACTAATTGATAATCGCCTATATAAATCGTCCAATGGACTACTACGAAGTACTAACCACTTTAAGTGTTTTTAAATATCAATTTTACCCTTAGAACAATACGAGATGCCACAATAATTATATAGATTATATTTGTGCGGAATCCAATCTAAATATCCAATTAATCATAAAATTGAGTTAAATAATTAACTTTTTTGAAGAATTACTTTTTTTATACAATAACCCACACATAAATACAATAGATTTACTGTTAATTAAATCAGTTTAACAATTTGAACTTTCCTAGACATTTAATACTATGGTACGCCTTGGGGTATTTTAGTCGGAAACTTACCTAAATATATAATATTTTGAAAAATATGTACCATTTATAGCTATATAATTTTAGTATATGTATAATTCTTTTAATATATAGTGCAGGTTTTTTAATCAAAATAAGCCTAATACATTTTAAGACACATATACTATATCTATATTGCATGCAAAACTTACTTTTATACATAGTGTAATACATCTTTATTACATACATAGATCATTTTTAATACATTGTGCAAATTTATTTTTTTATCAAAATAAGTATAATACATTATAGTACATATATATAATATGTATATTTCACTTTTAATACATAGTACAGTAACTATAGATGGTAAATATTTTTAAAAAATAGTACATATATCAAAGTAATAAGTAGAAAATATATTTAAAAGCAATAAATATTTTATAAAGAACTCTCAAAAAGATAATTTTATTTTATTTTTTCTTGAAATTTGTCTGATCACCTTTTCTAAATTTGTAGACAATAAAATCATCATTTGTTAGGTTGTTTAAAAAGAAGAAAAAAAAAAAAAGGCCAGCAAGCAATATTGCTTTGATTTGAAGCTTCAATTTTATTTGCATCTGTTTCGTCTTCATAAAGGTCTGTTTGATTTGTCCCTGTTTTACTTGTATTTATGTACTTGTTATTTCTTCGCTAAATTTTGCACGCTTTGAGTAATTTTGATTTTTGGATTCAGTTTGAAAATTGGGTATGAATCATGATGATTTCATTAGTTTTCTTCTGATCCAAATGTTTTTGAACATGAAAGGGGTTCAATTGAATTCTGTCGGAAAATTGTACCTCTTAACAATAACATATTCAGTGAAATTTCATAAACTCGGGTTTGGGGATTGGGTAGGGTAGAGTGTAGGCATATGAGAGTAGAGACGCTATTTTCGAAAAACGTGGATGGTAGTTTGTTTAAGAAAACTTTTGGTATATTATTTTTTTGAATCTTCATATTAGTATTTCTGGCTCCGTCACTATTTGCAAGTGATTATAAAAGTGAAAGTCAAAGATGGATAGGATTATTGAACAATTTGAGATTGCAGGGAGTTAAACAGGAGAAACAGAATTTTATGAACAATTTTCACTTTGACTCTGTATTTCTATTCAGCAATGTCTCACCAAAATTATACTTTCAAAATAAATATTTAATGTCCTTACAAGATGGCTGATGGGATGGATATTCTTCAAACATTTGTTATTGACAACGGAACTGGATTCAGCAAGGGTAGTTAGAAATAAACTGGTTGAAATTTCAGCTACGTGCGTGCTGTTAAATACATTTCTCTCTAGTAAAATAAATAATAGTTGTTGTTGTTTGTTTCTCTAGGTTGGCTTTGCTGGGGATGCTTCTCCGGGCGCTGTTTTTGAAAGTATAGTTGGTCGTCCTCGCCATACTGGCATCATGGTTGGAATGGGACAAAAAGATACTTATGTTGGTGATGAAGCTCTCTCTAGAAGAGGTATTTTGACTGTGAGACATCCCATTGAACGTGGCGTAGTAAGAAACTGGGATGATATGGAGGTACTCTGGCATCACACATTTTACAATGAACTTCGTGTTGCTCCCGAGGAGCATCCCGTTCTTCTGACTGAGGCACCACTTAACCCCAAGACAAAAAGAGAGAAAATGACTCAAATCATGTTTGAGACATTCAATGTTCCAGCCATGTATGTCGCAAGTCAGGCTGTTCTTTCTCTTTTTGCTAATGGTCGTACAACTGGTAAGAAGCAGATTGGAATGTGTATGTAAGCATAAAGAGAATATTAAACCACACATGAACAGGGCACAAAACAAAAGAGAGCTTCATATCATATATACTGACCACTGTAGTTTGTCAAACTAACAAAAAGCCACAAGAGTATGTGATGGCAAGGCGGAACTTCAAAAGAAAAGACAGACAACAAGAGAAACAAGACACATTTAGGACAGAGGAGGGGAGGGAGTAAAAGTATGCATCAACAACATCATGCGCTCATTTGCACTCTCATGGGCATGTATCAGTTGCTTGTTTAGGGACTTAATTTCCTCTTTGAGAGAGGCATTTGTCTTCAGCAACATTGTGTTTTCATCCCTTAACTCTTTGAGCGTCAGCTCGTGACCCTCACTGGTACCAGGTCCCCTGGAAGCAGTCTTCTGCAATTTAGACTTAAGCCTAGTGATTTCAAACTCCTTATCACTCAGAATCTTGGTCAGATCAGTCACCTCCCTCCTAAGAGTAGCCTGCTGCTCCAGAACATTCGCCACTTTAGATCTTCCCTTAGCCTGTCCCTCAATGCACTCATATTCTAGTAGAGTAGACATAGTGAACATCTGCTTGGTGGTACCAGGTACCCCTTTTCCCACTGGAACTTCAAAATGATTAAAGACAAAGTTCAGTAAATACCCATAGGGAATGCCGTGCTTAGCATTCTTCCATGTCATTACTCTATATGTTCCAGCATGATGGCAGGGAGGTTGATTTCCTCAAGCTCATCAAGCTTTCCCATGAGGAAAAGATCGGCAGCAGAAGCCACTGTTCTCTTCTCAGTCCTAGGCACCACTACTTTGTTAATGAACTCGAATATCAACTGATACTCCCCATTAAGAAACTTCTTAGGCAGCCTTGCATGCTTGACATCTCCTCGTTTTGTAGCAAGCTTTGAGAAATCACCAGTAGGTTTACATCCCTCAATAGTTTGAACTCCTGCCACAGGCACTCCCAGAATGATTCCCAAAGTTTCTTCATCAAGGTGAATCTGCACATTCCTGACAATAGTTGTGATTCCACCATCTTCCAGTAATTCCATTTTGTAGAAGAATTCACGCACTTCAGGTTCGTGCAAGTATGGAACTGGTGGTTCAAACAGATGATTCCAGCCTTGAATGGTAACAACATCAACCAGATTGGCCATACCAAAAGTTGTTAAAATATCAGGGTCAAAGACTCTACCGTTTAAAACTCTTTGTTGCTCAATTTTCTCTACCCGCTCTTCTCTAGTCAATTTCTTCTCTTCAATTTGATTTTTAACCCTGGGACCAGGTCCTTTTACGGGTTGTTCCTCTGACTGCTTTCTTTCCTTTTCTCCTTTTGTAAGAGGTTTCTGTTTTTTAACCTTCACACTCATTGCAGGAGATTTTTCCTCTCCTTTTGATTTCCCTTTGATTTAACCCTTTTTTCTTCAGCTTCTCTCCTCCTTTTTGCCACATACTTGGCAGCATCCTCAGATTCAGTCTCACTGTTCTCAATAATCAAAGGAGTAGAGGCAGGTTGGTCAGGTTCAAGCCCTTCTCTTCTCCTCTTCCTAGTTCTTTCAGTATGGGCTTTGCTTGCCGCAATAGCACTCCCCATAAACTTTTGTGTTTCGCTCCTTGTAACATGCTTCCTTTTGTCTCCTTTAGAGTGAGACAGAGCCAACTTTCCCTTCCCCTTTCTCTGTCGCTCCTTTTCTTGTTCACCAAATTTACCAACATTGTCAATCTCAGACGTACCTTTGACAGTTTCCAACTCAGGAACATTTACTTGAGATTGGTTTCCTCCTCGCATTCCCCTTGATCGCCATCTTAGTGGAACATCTTCTTCTTCTTCTTCTTCCTTCACGCTCACAACATCAGATGATTTTGGTGTTTGGTCGAAGACAGGCTCACTTCTGTGAGGGACCTGATTCGGTGACTTCAATTCATGCTCCAAAAAAGTAGGTTGAACATCACCTCTTAATGGGGCTAAGCTTTGAACGGCCACCAGTTCAGCACCAGCGGTTAGAATACAAGATTCAGGACCTTTTCCTTCAGGTAAGTCCCTTTCAAACAATCTCTCAGATATGGTTGATGACACTGCCATTGAACCAATGTCAATTTCTTCCGTAGGAAGACCCTCATTAGGTTTTGACACAGACTGTGCCTCTGAATTTGGGGATTTGTCACTAGATAGAACCAGAGTAGGAGAGCAAACTAACATATTCCCGGAGTGAAGAACAGGGCAGACCAAGATGTCGGCCGTCGGGGAGATGGATTCATCCATTTCTCCAACACCACAGACTGGGGTGGACGGAGACTCTTCAGGAGGGGGAACAGAGAAGTTGAATGAACTAGGGTTTTCAACTTCTTGGGAGATGGATGTTTTTGAAGAAGACTCAGTGAATGACATGTTTGAAGAGAGGAGGAAAACAGAACTTGGAGAGAAATTTAGAGAGTTTTTGGGAGAAGGTTTATGATTTTTAATTTTGAAGAGGAGAGGGAAGCTAAATAGTAACCCTCCAAGAGAGATTTAAATTTAAAAGGTATTAGGTCCCAAAAGAGGCGACCCTTAGTATTAAAAGAGACCAGACGTTTTGAAACTGACGCGATGAATGAGAGAGTGACACGTGGCAGTGATGTTGGCATTTAGACAGTGTAGTATAATTGATACTCACCTCAAGAGGACCAGGTCATCCTTTCAGTTTGTTAATCTTCCTGTGTGATTAAACCTTCCTTTCAGCTAAACACACCATGAGTGTATACCTGCATTAAGGTTCCAGAAGTGAATTCTTTTATGACAAACAGTAAAACAAGTATAGATACCTCCCCTCCTTAACATAATCAATAAGAAGGATTTTTGTGCAAATCTGTCGAGGGGTCAGGTGATTTTGTGCATCCCTAGCCTCATCCTGTTTTTGATGAAGAATTTTTTACTTAATAATTTTGTTAAGATGTCAGCCAACTGGTCTTCAGTTTTACAGAACCTCATCACCACATTTTGCTTTTCAACATTGTCTCTTAGGATGTGATGCCTTACATCTATGTGCTTTGTCCTCTTGTGCTGGACCGGATTTTTGGCCATGTTCATGGCACTAGTATTATCACAAATAAGAGGAATTGTGTCTGTAAGTACACCAAAATCTTCCAGCTGTTGCTTGATCCATAACAGTTGTGCACAACATGATGCAGCAACCACATACTCTACCTCTGCCGTAGACAATGCAACGAAATTCTACTTCTTTGTTCCCCATGAAATCAAAGCTGATCCAAGGAAGTGTGCCATGCCTGACGTGCTTTTTCGATACATCAAAAAGCCTGCATAATCAGTATCAATATAACCTTTAAGATCAAAAGAGTCACCAGTAGGGTAGAAGAGGACCAGGTCCTGAGTTCCCTTCAAGTATCTCATGATGCGTTTGGCTGCCTTCATGTGAGACGCATTTGGTGCTGCTTGAAACCTTGCACACATTCCTACGCTGAACACTATGTCTGGCCTGCTTGCAGTTAGGTATAAGAGTGATCCTATGATTCCCCTGTACATAGTTTGATATATCTAGTTTCACACTTGTGCTCATGGGAGTATCCAACACCTTTGCTTCGAGCAGGTCGAATTTCTTGAGCAACTCTTTGATGTACTTCTCTTGGCATATTGAAGTGCCTTGAGAGGACTGTTTGATCTGTAAGCCTAGAAAGTAGGTGAGTTCCCCCATCATGCTCATTTTGAACTCACTACTCATCAAATCAGCAAACTCTTTGCAGAGTGAGTCTGAAGTTGCTCCAAATATGATATCGTCCACATATACCTGCACAATTAACAATTCCTTACCTCTGGATTTTAAGAACAATGTATTATTAATTTTACCTCTCTTGAACCCATTGGTGAGAAGAAACTTTGACAGGTGTTCATACCAAGCTCTAGGAGCTTGTTTTAACCCATACAAAGCCTTGTCCAATTTCAGCACATGATTGGGCAGGTCTGCATCTTCAAAGCCTGGAGGCTGCTTGACATATACTTCTTCCTTCAGATTCCCATTCAAGAAAGCACTCTTGACATCCATTTGAAACAATTTGAATTTCACGTGAGCAGTAAAAGCTATCAAGATTCTGATGGCTTCTATTCTGGCTACAGAAGTAAAGGTCTCATCATAATCAATTCCCTCTTCTTGATTGTAACCCTGTACCACCAGTCTTGACTTATTTCTAGTAATGATCCCACGCTCATCAAGTTTGTTTCTGAAGACCCATCTGGTCCCAATAATGGTTCTGTTGAGTGGTTTGGGGACCAGGTGCCACACCTTGCTTCTCTCAAACTGATGAAGCTCCTCCTGCATTGGAGTTACCCAGTCTACATTCTTCAAAGCTTCCTTGATGTTCTTGGGTTCAGTGGATGATATGAATGTTGAATGTGCAACTAGATTTCTTGATTTAGACCTAGTTTGAATTCCTGAGTCAAGTGGAGAGATGAGATTGTCTAGTGGATGTGACGATTGATATTTCCATCCGGACTTTTTGGTAATCTCTTCTTCTCTGTCAGCATCAGAATCACCTTCATCTTCTTCAAGATTTTGAGATACTGTTTCCTGTGATGAGCCAGAGGGACCAGGTCCTCCTGAGTGTTTTGGATCATTCCTTTTTGTACCCTGATCATTCTACTGCTTGTTTATCAGTTCCTCAAACTCATATTCCTCATTGTTCTCATTTATTGTACCCAATTCATCAAACTTGACGTGCATGCTTTCTTCAACACAAAAAGTTCTTTTGTTGAACACCCTGTATGCTTTGCTTATAGAAGAGTACCCAACAAATACACTTTCATCACTCATGGCATCAAACTTGCCTAAATCATTCTTTCCATTATTCAAGACAAAACATTTGCACCCAAATGGTTTAAGATGCGCAATTGAAGGTTTTTTGTCATTTAACAGCTCATAGGGGGTTTTCTTGACGACCGATCTGATAAGGCATCTGTTTGTCACATAACACGCTGTATTATCTGCTTCAGCCCAAAAATTCATTGCAAGTCCTGAGTCAATCAACATAGTTCTAGCAATCTCCACCAGAGTTCTGTTCTTTCTTTCAACAACTCCATTTTGCTGAGGAGTTCTTGGTGCTGAGAAATTGTGATTGATTCCATTTTCTACACAAAACCCTTCAAGTTGAGAGTTCTCAAACTCTGTACCATGATCAGATCTGATACTGGCTATCCTGCAATTCATCTTCATTTGAATGGCTTTGGCAAAGGTGATCAGTTGTCCAACTGTCTCATCTTTCGTCCGCAGAAACATGTTCCAAGTGAACCTGGAAAAATCATCAACAATGACAAGAATAAATCTCTTATGTCCTCTGCTTTGGATTCTAATAGGTCCACATAGGTCCATGTGGAGCAGCTCTAGAGGTCTCGTTGTACTGACTCCCTTCTTGGATTTGAGAGATGACTTGGTTTGTTTCCCTTTAGCACAAGCATCATAAATTTTATCGTTTGAAAACTTCAGTTTTGGTAACCCGCGGACCAGGTCCCCTGCAACAAGTTTGTTTAATAAAGAGGAACTTACATCACCTAATCGTCGATGCCAAAGATTTGCATCGTCATCTTGAGCACTCAGGCATGAGAGATTGTCCCCTTCAATAGAATCAAGATCAACAATGTACATATTCTTAACTCTTTCAGCAGACATCACAATTTTCTCGGTTGCACAGTTTGTAACCAGACATTTATCAGCCATGAACTTGACTTCATTTTCTTTATCACAGATTTGTGAAATGCTCAAAAGATTGTATTTTAAACCCTCCACATAGTGAACATTATTTTTTGAATTATCAGCCGATCTCCCTATTATGCCAATACCAAGGATAGAGCCCTTCTTTCCACCACCAAACGACACACCATCACCTTGGTGTGCTTTCAAAGAGAGGAAGTTTTGAAGTGTCTCCCAGTCCATGTGCCTTGAGCATCCACTGTCCATATACCAGCACTGACTCCTTCCTCTCTTCTGCATAAAAATAATTTGTTAGATTTAGGAACCCACTTCAAACGGAGTTCCCAGTACTTATCAAGAGGCCTGATAAGAAGCCTTCCTATGCAGGGAGGCAGGATGTTCTTATTGAAATGATAAAAGGGACTAGGTCCCTCGTGTCCCTTTTTAACCTCATTTTTAGATCTAACAAATTTCACATGCCTTTCTTTAGCTTTTCTCAGACTTTCACACTTTTCTTTCAAATGATCATTTCGACCACAGTGAGTGCACAAAAGGTTGTCAGATACAGATACATATTTGCTATGGGGATTGTAGGGGAGTTCTATTGGTCTGCGTCCCAGCCCTGTCTTTCCATTGAAACTTTGATTGGACAGATTATAGAGTATCTTAGAGGAGTCAGTCCATTTTAGGGAGTGACTTAACTCCTCCTTGACCTTACTCAGATCCTTTCTCAGTTGAGAATTTGTTTCAAGAGAAGCAACTAGCTTAGACTCAGAAATTTTTATCTTTTCTTCCAGTTCTTCCTCAAGAATGATAAGCTATCTCTTTCCTCCTACTGAGGTGCTAGGGTCCTTCTCAGGAGTTATGTTACTGGTCTCTAGAGTACCTATCCTTTCACTTATTTCAGCAACTTGAGACATAAGAGCAAAGTTCTTATCTTCACACAAACTTAATTTTTTATTCAACATTAAGTTTTTAGTGGTTCACTCATCAACACTGTCAATAAGCAGGGCAGCAAGTTTCCTTAGGTTTTCAATAGGCAGATTAACTAGATCATCTTTAAGATAAAAACGAGTTACCTTGTTTGAATCCTCTTCATCATCAAAAATTGCTATCAAGGAGAAAATAGAGTTGAAAATGCTTTCATCATCTTCAATGACCATCATTGAAACATCCTTATGACATTCTTCATCTTCTTCTGATTCACTTGAGTAATTTCCCCACATAGCAAAGGCTTTCTTCACCAGCTGATCAACATGTGCCTTTCTTCGAGCATGGTCTGGGACCAGGTCCCTCTTGTGAGGTCTGGTGTCATGAGTTTCCTGCTTTTGACTAGGGCAGTTCCTCATGAAGTGACCAGGCTTGCTACACTTATGGCAAAAATCATTTGCAGTAGCAGTTCTGCTGGCAGGGGTTTTCTTTTGGAAGCCTCCATGCTTCTTTAAGATCTTCTGAAATCTTCTAGTGACATATGCCATCTCATCCTCCTCTTCAGTCACCTCACTCTGAGATGTTTTCAATGCAATGGACTTCTCCTTCTTTGCTACCTTCACAGTCGTCCCATGTTTCTTGTTCATCTCGTAGGTCTGAAAATTCCAAATCAGTTCATCCATGGGAAGCGTCATTAGATATTTGGCTTCTGTTATGGCATCCACCTTGCTTTCCCAAGATTTTGGAAGCACCTTGAGGATCTTGCGAATTTGCTTACGAACAGGAATAGGTTCACCCAAACCTCTCAGCTCGTTGGTGATAGAGGTGAATATTGAGTTCATCTTAAAGATGGTTTCCCCTTCCTTCATAATGAAATTTTCATATTGAGTGGTAAGCATATCAACCTTAGACTCTTTCACTCGCTGAGTTCCTTTGTAGGCTGTTTGAAGACAGTCCCATATCTCCTTGGCAGTCTTACAAGCAGAAATCCTGTTGTACTCATTTGCTCCAATTCCACACACCAGAATCTTCTTTGCTTTGTAGTTCTTTTCTATCTTCTTCCTATCTGCTTCATTGTACTCTTTTCTGGTTTTTACAGTAGTAGTGAGCTCTCCATCCTTCACCTCCTTTGTAGGAATATATGGTCCATCAAGGATAATGTCCCACAACTCAGTATCCTCAACGTTGATGTAGTCGTGCATTCGATTTTTCCACCATCCATAGTAATGACCATTAAAGCGAGGTGGCCTGGTAGAAGACTGACCTTCCTCCATATTAGGTGGGGCAACCATTCCTTTTGGATCTTTTCTTTTCTAGGTGTTAACCAAAATGAAAAGTCAAGCTCTGATACCACTTGTTGGAATGTATGCGTCCACTTAAGTCGATGGGACCAGGTCCTCAACACAGTTACAATATTTGACAGTAGAGAACAAATGCTGAAAGTAAAAATTGACAAGAGAGTTTACGTGGATTCCTCCTTGCTCAAGGGAGTAAAACCACGACCTGGCCTGCCAGGACTTTTAGAACTGCTTTTCACTAATCTTCTCCAAGCAAAAGTAAAAGCTAGTTACAAACCGAGATTAGCCTGCTAATCCCAACTCTAAGTAACACCTCCTATTACTTAGACGAGCTAGAGTAGATACCACACTACCCACTATACTAATCCTATTTAGATTAATATAGACTTTTAGAGTAAGAACCTAAGTTACCCTTAACCTAGTTCTTACAATGATTCAAATAGGTTGAAACAATTCTTATCACAACGAAACGAATCCTACAATGTAAGCACTATTACAAGGAAACAAAATACAGCTGGTACAGAAAGTAAATATATCGCAGCACTTCTATCAAGTCCCTTGCTGTTTTTAAGCTTGAAAGTGTTTCTCTTTGAATGAATGAATAATTTGTTATTTTTTCTTGGATATATTTAGACATGAAAAGTTATTATCCAATGAACAAGCAACCTCGTTGCTTCTGATTGGTGGAGTACTCTGCAGCTTCACCAACCTTCTGACGCAGACAACTTTCCAGCTGTACAACACTTTGACCACTGGACGAGTATTCATACTCTGCAGAGGACCAGGTCCCTACACTTGTGAGGAGATCATCAAAACATCAAGAAGCATAAGCATTTATCACCACTCTGTCCCTATCTATGAGGGACATGTACTTTCTCATGCTGTCTCGCGGTTAGCTCTTGGTGGCCGTGATCTTACATGGTATCTCATCAAGATTCTCATGGAGGGTCCTTACATATTTAGAAATTGCACAAGTTGTACACCTATTCATATGAAGGAGACGATTGCTTATGTTGCACTGGATTTTGAACAAGAGATTGACAAGGCAAAAAGTTGCTTAAAATCAATTGAGAAGGGCTATGAGCTTCCTAATGGAAAAGTCATCAATATTGGTGCTGAAATGTTCCGTTGCCCTGAAGCCCTCTTCAAGCCATCATTGGTTGGAATAGAAGCGACGGGGATTCATGAAAAACCCTACAACTCAATCATGAGATGCAATGTTGATATTAGGAAAGATTTATTTGCAAACATTGTACTTAGTGGTGGCTCAACTATGTTTCCTGGCTTTGTAGAACGTATGACCAAGGAAATCACTGCTCTAGCTCTGAGCCACACGAAGATCAAGGTGATTGCACCACCTGAGAGGAAGTACAACACTTGGATAGGAGGATCAATTCTAGCTTCCCTCAGTACTTTCCAAAAAGTTAGTTTATTTTACTGATCGATCAATCATTCAACATCTCTCATTCCAAACTAGATAATTTGTTGTAATTGTGAATGTCTTGTTGAATAACTTTTTTATGCTCAAGGATTCAACACTAACTTCTCCTTGGTTTGTAGATGCAGATGTCGAAGGCCGAGTGTTTTGAATGCGGTCCTACGTTGGTTCATGGGATGTGCATCTAAGAGTGGGCTTATAGCTTAAATACTTCCTAGTTAAATTCCAGCAAACACTCTTCTTTCAATCAGATAGATGTCTTTTTTGAAGTAATACCCGATCTTGTATGCATTTTATATTCCGTCTATTGTGTTCAAAATATATTATTTGATGTGAAATTTTTGCCTTTATTTGGGGTTTGAGCCGAAGTTACTATGGATGAACCCATAACTTATGCACTAAAATCTCCTATGTGTCTTAGATTTATGTTATTTACAAGCTTAAAACAAGATGAGATGTCACCGGAAAACATGGAACATGTAAGTTAAACAAGTATTGACATTTTTTTATTTTCTTAAAGTTTATCTAGAAATCATGTGCAAACCACATGGTGCCAATAACAGTAAGCGGTTAAATATTTGAAAATTACGTAATAAAAAACTTTAAATTAGCATAATTAACTCATGATTAAAATATATAAAAGACATGAAAAAAATTACGACAAATAACAACTCATTTGACTCATAAATGTCACATAAATTAAAATGAAGGAACAATATTTTTTTGTACAATAAACAAATATAAATATAATTATTGGATTAATTTACAACTAACTAAATCAGTTAAATAATGAGTGAATAGGTCAAACACCCACCCACGAACTATCCCCACTCCCACCCTTCAAAAATGTCGTCATAAAAGTCATTTCGTGAGTGAGTTTCGTATCTAAACTATAAGTCTATAGCCCCCTATTGACTAAAACAAGCCTTATTCAATATGGGATTAAATATTTGGGGTATCTTACTAAGAGGCACCTAAGATATGAAAAAACTATTAAAAATGAGTTCATTTGGCACAATCAGTTCATGGAAGTTCAGGAGGATTATGTGATATTCCAATAGTTAAGATATGAATTTCGCAAGATGTTGATATTTTAGGAGGAACCTTTAATTTGGTTAAACAATTTTTTTCAATGTATACTGTTACTTGAAATTCTTTGGAGGAGCTTTTCGATTATAATGTTCTCAGAGCGTGTGTTATGATCCTATAACAAAAATAATAATAATCCCATATGGATTAAATGAGGAACTATTATGAGGCTTATACAATCTTGAACTCTTCTACCTTAATAATTAGCTTTTGGGGCTCCTAAAATTGTGTCAATAACACTTGACTCGAAAAGGTCTATCTACTTGTGGTAGAGTAAAAGTAGAACCGTCGAGGATGGCGAATGAAAAGTGTGGTGGTTAGGACCCTATTATATATATATATTTTAAAAAAACAAATCAATTAAATGGGAAAATTATATAGGGCTTATATAACCTTTAAGCTCTCCCACCTCAATAGAGTTACGTGACTTAGCTAACTCAACCTTCTAATTACTCTACTATAGTTTCAAAATATTATAGCGAATAAATGAGTTTTATAGCAATATATATATGAAAACTCCATGAATGGAGGTTGATTCTTAGATCAATTTACAGAGAGAATAGAAAAGAAAGAGAAATTGTTTTGAATATTATGTACCCTGTTACATTGAATCTGTACCACTATGCCTTTTATACTTGTACACTAGTTCACAGATATAAAAAATATCTAAAACTGTTTTGTAACTAACTATTGCCAGCTCAGCATTCTGTTTAGCTGCCTGCACTCATGGTTAGCTAACTCAACCTTCTAATTACTCTACTATAGTTTCAAAATACTATAGCGAATAAATGAGTTTTATAGCAATATATATATGAAAAACTCCATGAATGGAGGTTGATTCTTAGATCAATTTACAGAGAGAATAGAAAAGAAAGAGAAATTGTTTTGAATATTATGTACCCTGTTACATTGAATCTGTACCACTATGCCTTTTATACTTGTACACTAGTTCACAGATATAAAAATATCTAAAACTGTTTTGTAACTAACTATTGCCAGCTCAGCATTCTGTTTAGCTGCCTGCACTCATGGTTAGCTAACTCAACCATTCAGCTTGTTAACTCTATGCACTAGTTAACACTCCCCTCAAGCTTATGGTTGAAAGGCATTTTTCATTCCAAGCTTGCTCATTAGTAGTCCATGTTGTGCTTGTCCTAGACTCTTAGTTAGTAGATCAGCATGTTGATGTTTGGTGTTGATATGTTCAGTTTGCAGTATCCCTTGACAAATCATTTCTCTAACAAAGTGACAATCAATGTCTATGTGTTTTGTTCTTTCATGAAATACTATCTTGATAGGCAGAGTTAAACTGACTCCCAGCTCTTTGTATAGACCTATTATCCAGGTTACTTCAGCTGCACATGCAGCCATGCTTCTGAACTCTGCTTCTGTTGAGCTTCTTGAGACTGTTCCTTGCTTCTTAGACTTCTAAGAGATTAAACCTCCTCCAAACTTCACTAGATAGCCTGTAACAGACTTCTTAGTTTCTAGACATGCACCCAATCTGAGTCACAATAAGCTGTTAGTTGTGTGGTCTGTTCTGCTGGCATTAATAATCCTAGACCAGGAGATTCCTTGATATACCTCACTGCTCTCAATGTTGCTTCCATATGTGATTGCTTAGGACTATGCATGAATTGGCTAAGTACTTGAGCAGTAAATGCAAGGTCTGGCCTGGTCATAGTTAAGTAGAGAAGCCTGCCTACTAACCTTTGATACTGTGTGGGATCAGTGAGTGGCTCATCATCTTCGGTCTTTGAACCAGGTACCAGTTCATCATTTCACAGTCGTGAGTTTCTTGTTAAGTTCCAACGGAGTGTGAACTGGTTTAGCTCCCCCTAGGCCAGTTTCAGACACAAGTTCTAAAGCATACTGCCTTTGTGTCATTAATATTCCCTTACTGGACCTAGAAAACTCAATTCCTAGGAAGAATTTTAGCTCCCCAAGATCCTTCATCTTGAACCTTTTCTGAATATCTTGTTTGGTTCTGCACAACAGTTCATGACTGCTTCCAGTGATTAGAAGATCATCTACATACACTAATATCACTACCACAGCATCACCAGCTTGCTTTGTAAAGAGAGAATAATCATAGTGACTTTGGCAGCCATTCAGATAGCAGCAAATCCTATATTTCATGAAAGAACAAAACACATAGACATTGATTGTCACTTTGTTAGAGAAAGGATTTGTCAAGGGATACTGCAAACTGAACATATCAACACCAAACATCAACCTGCTGGTCTACTAACTAAGAGTCTAGGACAAGCACAACATGGACTACTAATGAGCAAGCTTGGAATGAAAAATGCCTTTCAACCATAAGCTTGAGGGGGAGTGTTAACTAGTGCATAGAGTTAACAAGCTGAATGGTTGAGTTAGCTAACCATGAGTGCAGGCAGCTAAACAGAATGCTGAGCTGGCAATAGTTAGTTACAAAACAGTTTTAGATATTTTTATATCTGTGAACTAGTGTACAAGTATAAAAGGCATAGTGGTACAGATTCAATGTAACAAGGTACATAATATTCAAAACAATTTTTCTTTCTCTTCTATTCTCTCTGTAAATTGATCTAAGAATCAACCTCCATTCATGGAGTTTTGAATATTATGTACTCTATTACATTGAATCTGTACCACTATGCCTTTTATACTTGTACACTAGTTCAAAGATATAAAAATATCTAAAACTATTTTGTAACTAACTATTGCCAGCTCAACATTCTGTTTAGCTGCCTACACTCATGGTTTAGCTAACTCAATCATTCAACTTGTTAACTCTATGCACTAGTTAACAATATATTTAATACTTGTATGTCCTTATTTCAAGCCTAATATTAAGCACACTAGCATCTAAACCCTAAAAATTTCTGAAATTTTTCCAATTAGGATTGAGAAAACAGAAAAGCTTAAAGATGAAATAGATGAAATTTGAGTGGGTAATGATTTTGATTCGAAATTTGTGATTTATTTTCATTTACAATTACATTCTCAATACTGCTTACTGAATTAACATTGGATTCATCTCGAATTACACTACTTTGTATTTGTATTTTTGTTTTTGAATCCCTATATTAGAATTTTTTGAATCCACATATTAGAAATTTTTTGTATCCACATACTAGAATTTTTTGAATCCACGTATTAGAAATTTTTGGCTCCGTCACCGTTTCCAATTTGTAGCAGTGATGTCTCACGTAAATTATACTTGCAAAATAAATATTTGAAGTTCTTACAAGATGGATATTCTTCAAACACTAGTTTTTGACAACGGAACTCGAATGACCAAGGTTAGTTATAAATAAAGTGGTTGCAATTTCAGCTCCATGCTTAGTGTAAATTACTCTGTACTTTGTTTCTTTAGGCAGGCTTTGCTGGGGATGATTCTCCAAGGATTGTTTTCCCAAGTTTAGTTGGTCATCGTCGAAATAGTGGCATCATGGTTGGAATGGGAAGCCGTGATCCCTATGTTGGTTATGAAGCTGAGTCAAAAAGATTTATGCTTACTCTGAATCATCCCATTGAACAGGGCATAGTAAGAAATTGGGATGATATGGAAGAAATTTAGCATCACACATTTTACAATGAACTTGGTGTCCCTCCTGAGCAGCATCCCGTTCTTCTAACTGAGGCACCATTTAACACCAAGATAAATCGAGAGAGAATGACTGAAATCATGTTTGAGAAATTTAATGTTCCAGCCATGCATGTCGCAACCCAGGCAGTTCTTTCTCTTTTTGCTAATGGTCGTACAATTGGTAAGAAGCAGATTGGATTGCCTGGTTCTCTACTGTTTTAGTCGGTCATACTGATTTCATTTGTTGTTTTTCCAACAAGGTATTGTGCTTGATTCCGGTGAATGTGTGACCCACATTGTCCCTATCTATGAGGGACATGTACTTCCCCATGCTATCTCACGCTTAGATATTGGTGGTCGTGATCTTTCAAAGTATCTCATGAAGTTACTCGTGGAGGGGTATAATATATATTATTATGACTGTTGGGAAAGATATAAAGATATGTTTCATGATATGAAGGAGACGTTTGTTTATGTTGCACTGGATTTTGAGCAGGAGAATGAAAAGGCAAAAAATTGCTCAAAATTACTTGAGAAACGCCATGAGTTTCCTAATGGAGACATCGTCAATATTGGTGCTGAGGGATTCTGTTTACCTGAAGTCCTCTTTCAACCATCATTGGTTGGAATGGAAGCGACAGGAATTCATGACAAAGTCTACAACTCAATCATGAGATGCGATGTTGATATTAGGAAAGATTTATTTGCAAACATTGTGCTTAGTGGTGGCTCAACTATGTCCCTGGCATAGCAGAACGTATGAGCAAGGAAATCACTGCACTTGCTCCGAGCCATACGAAAATCAAGGTGATTGCACCACATGAAAGGAAGTGTAGCGCCTGGATAGGAGGATCAGTTCTAGCCTTCCTCAGTACTTTCCAAAAAGTTAGTTTCGTATCCTTTTTATTTTTTATTCCATTGTCACCAATCAATCAACCAATCATCTACGTCTCAATCACAAATAATTGGTTTTCTACTGTGTATCTGCTAATTTTTGCTTTACAGATGTGGATAACAAAGGGCGAGTATGATGAAATTGGTCCAGCAATTGTCCATAGGAAGTGCAGCAGTTGAAAATTCTTTCCAAAAAATCACTCATCTCTTTTGCCAAAGGTACAACGATAAAACCTTATAACTACTGTTTATTTGGTAAGCAACATAGAGTCTCATTTCAGACATCATTTGAAAGAAAGTTGAATATACTTGATTTGGTATATTCTGATGTCTGTGGTCCAATGGAGATAAAATCGATGGGAGGTAATAAATGCTTTGTTACCTTTATTGATGATGCTTCACGAAAATTGTGGGTTTATATCTTGAAAACCAAAGATCAGGTGTTTCAAGTATTTCAAAAGTTTCATGCTCTGGTAGAAAGAGTGACGGGTCGGAAGCTAAAACGTCTCTGAACTGACAATGGAGGTGAGTACACTTCAAGAGAATTTGAAGAGTACTGTTCAAACCATGGAATCAGACATGAAAAGACAGTTCTTGGAACCCCACAACACAATGGTGTAGCTAAGAGAATGAATCGCACCATAGTTGAGAAGGTGAGAAGCATGCTCAGAATGGCTAAATTACCTAAGTCATTCTGGGGTCAAGTAGTTTGGACAGTATGTTATCTTATCAATCGTAGTCCATCAGTTCCGTTGGAGTTTGACATTCCGGAGAGAGTTTGAACCAACAAGGAGATGTCTTACTTGCACCTAAAGGTGTTCGGTTGCAAAACTTTTGCACATGTACCGAAGAAGCAGAGAACCAAGCTAGATGATAAATCAGTTCCCTGCATATTCATCGGATATGGAGATGAAGAATTCGGGTACAGATTGTGGGATCCTGTAAAGAAGAAGGTCATCAGAAGCAGAGATGTAATCTTCCGAGAAAGTGAATTTGGAACTGCCGATGCTCTATCCGAGATGGCCAAGGAAAAGAATGGTATAATCCCTAATCTTGTTACCATTCCTTTTACTTCTAACCATCCCATAAGTGCAGAAAGTATGATCGATGAAGTTGCTGAACATGAAGAGCAACCTAATGAGATTGTTGAGCAGGGGGATCAACTTGGCGATAATACCGAGCAAGTGGAGTACCCGGAAGAAGAAGAAGAAGAACAATCTCAACCTCTGAGGAGATCAGAAAGACAAAGGGTAGAGTCATCTAAGTACCCTTCCTCAGAGTATGTCCTCATCAATGATGAAGGGGAGTCAGAAAGTCTTAAAGAGATGTTGTCTCGTCCAGAAAAGAGCCAATGGATGAAAGCCATGCAAGAAGAGATGGAATCTCTACAGAAAAATGGCACATACCAGCTAGTTGAACTTCCAAAAGGAAAAAGACCGCTAAAGTGCAAGTGGGTCTTTAAACTCAAGAAAGATGGAAATGACAAGTTGGTCAGGTACAAAGCTCGATTGGTTGTAAAAGGCTTCGAACAAAAGAAAGGTATTGATTTTGATGAAATTTTTTCACCTGTTGTCAAAATGACTTCTATTCGAACTATTTTGAGCCTAGCAGCTAGCCTAGATCTTGAAGTGGAGCAATTAGACGTGAAAACTGCATTTCTTCATGGAGATTTGGAAGAAGATATTTATATGGAGCAACCAGAGGGATTTGAAGTATTTGAAAAGAAACACATAGTGTGCAAATTGAATAAGAGTATTTATGGGTTGAAACAGGCACCAAGGCAATGGTACAAAAAGTTTGACTCTTTCATGAAAAGTCAATGAAAAGTCAAACGTACACAAAGACCTATTCTGATCCATGTGTATACTTCAAAAGATTTTCTGACAACAATTTTATTATTTTATTGTTGTATGTGGATGACATGCTAATTGTAGGACAAGACAAAGATTTGATTACAAGGTTGAAGAGGGATTTGTCCAAGTAATTTAACATGAAGGACTTGGGCCCGGCACAACAAATTCTAGGGATGAATTTTTTTCGAGAACGAACAAAAATAAAGTTGTGGCTATCTTAAGAGAAGTACATTGAACGTGTACTAGAACGCTTCAACATGAAGAGTGCTAAACCTGTTAGCACGCCTCTTGCGAGTCATCTGAAGTTGAGCAAACAGATGTGTCCTACAACAAAAGAAGAGAAAGAGGGAATTACCAAAGTTCCTTATTCTTCAGCAGTGGGGATTTTGATGTATGCAATGGTGTATACAAGACCTAATATTGCTCATGCAGTTGGTGTTGTTAGCAGATTCCTTGAAAATCTTGGAAAAGAACACTGGGAGGCAGTTAAGTGGATACTTAGGTACCTAAGAGGTACTACAAGAGACTGCTTGTGTTTTGAAGGATCTGATCCAATCTTGAAGTGTTATACAGATGCTGATATGACAGGTGACCTCGATAACAGAAAATCCACTACTGGATATTTGTTTACATTTTCAGGGGGAGCTATATCATCACAATCAAAGTTGCAGAAGTGTGTTGCACTCTCTACAACGGAGGCAGAGTATATTGCAGCTACTGAAGCTGGCAAAGAGATGGTATGACTGAAATGATTTCTTCAGGAACTTGGATTGCATCAGAAGGAGTATGTCGTCTATTGTGACAGTCAAAGTGCAATAGACTTGAGCAAGAACACCATGTATCATGCAAGGACAAAGCATATCGACGTGAGATATCACTGGATTCTTGAAAAGATAGAGGATGGATCT